TACCAGTAATTATATATATGCTTTCTGATGAAATATTATCATTTTATTTATACTCTTCGACTGTATTTTTACACTTCAAAACTGACAAAGTTTCTCAATTTTGTATTAAAAAAATCCAAAGACATCCATCGATCTTCAAATAAAAACTAATGGACTGGGTCTATTTTCCATCAAATTTTTGGATCGACCATGTTGATTGATTTTCTAACCCTTAATTTTTGCATTATTTTTACTAGTGTGGTATACTGGTATATATCACTTGACCATAGGTCTTGAAGTAGGGATATATGCAACTCATAAATATTAAGTTTATACAAATTCATTATTTTCGATGTATAACATAATGCATAAGCGCGGTTTATTTTCAACAAAAAATGTTAGATTTAAACCTATAGTTTCTTAAGTACAGTGAATTCAAAACTATAAGAAGACTTTAGAGTTCAAATTCATTAAATTTAAATTTAAATTAATGTGAAGAAAAATGAAAGCCATCAAAGTTCATTCTAGGTATTAATACATGCACTTGTTTGGGAGGGTAAATTAACCAAAAAAAAAGAAGATTATTGTTAAATTTGCTATGAATATTGTCATCATTTAGAGACAAGAAAACAACATATGTAAGGTAATTTCAAACGAAAACACACCTCGATATTTAGTTGGCTATATATTTATTCTCAATCGATATTAATTTCGTATAAGTGATCAACTCAACATATCGAAGTGTGTTTTAATAAATAAATAAAAAGTGATAAAAATTATATATGAAACTCGAAAAAAATAGTTTAAGGTGATAAATTGAACAATGGACAATCAAGGTATAAAGCTCACTAAATCACTATTTGCAAATGGCAAAGTTTCTTGCTTAATTTTTTGTCTTTAAGTTGCTATTGCATCAGGTAGATCTCAATTATTTTTAGTAAATTATAATAATATATATAAATGTCTTACAATATTATCATTATTATCTAATTATTTCTAGATTTTCTTTTTCAGATACTTTATTTTAAACGTCTATATGTCGATCAGAAACATCCTCTCTTCCCCCTCAAGGATAGAAGTAATTAAGATCTGCGTACACATATATCTTACCTTCTTCAGACTTCTCTAATGACTAACATGAATATGTTATTATTGTTATTAATATTATGATTATATATTATATTAATATTCTAATTACTTGTAATTAACTTGTAATTTTATTTTAATTATTATTTTTTGGATCCAAGAGAATGTTGTACAAGTTGATTAGTTATACAAACATCTATGTGATTTATAATTTTTGTACCATTCATTATAATATAAGGTTTTGATCTCAAAATTGATGTCTCTGAATAACTATATGATTCTTGTGCTTTATTTTTTGGGTAAAATAGTATCCAATCATGAAAGATATCTTTTTTAAATAAATAAATAAATTGTATTATTACATTGTGCGATAAAGAAATGACCTTGCACTTTAATTAATCTCAAAAATTTAATATTTATAAGGTGAGAATTGTTCAAGATATATCTAAGGAGAACAAGTCTCTAATCCCTCCATCAATGTGGAACTCAACTCAATATTTCTACGTACTCTGCACATTCATGTGTACTAACGAATTGTGAATGATGCAATATGGAGGCCGAATAAATTAAGAATTAAAATTAATCTGACTTTGTTACTATGATAAATATATAAATTTTAGGTCTGACTCATTCTATGTACTTATTCAACCTATCTCTTGAGGGCAAACAAAATGTTTGTTTAAGTACACTATTAAATCATTATTACACTTGCAACTTATTTGGGAGAAGTAAATTAACCAAAAAAGAGATTATTGTTGGATTTGTAATAAATATTGTCATTGTCATCATTTTAGAGACCAGAAAACAACATATGTAAAGTTTCAAATGAAAGTGCTACACTTTTAAGATTGTGTTGTTTCATATAAGAGCTTCTTCAAATCAGACTTATTGCTATTGATTTGATGATCTCTATAAGATATGATCAACGAGAATTAATTATTGGAACAGACAAATTGATAACCAACTGTAGTAGCCACATATATTTATGAAATGTGATTTGTAATGCAATTTCTAAACCCTACCAAGAAAAATATCTAACTATATTAGCTCCTCATATACCTACACTATATCAAAAATGATATTAGCAGTAATTAATTAACGAAAATAGCTTAATTGTCGCTAAATAATTTTTTAGAGGTAATTAACACTCTTTGTAAATGTTCCTAAAGTGTCTATAGAGACATAGAATCAAATGACAATTAACTAATATCGATAAAGACTTTAGCACTATTTGTTAATCTACTTATTTATTGTCGCCAAAAATTATTTTTTTGGTTATATATATAGTGGGGTTGGGGGAGCTAAGAATGTGGGCGTTTTGCGTGTTGATAACATCATCAAGCACTTGTTTACTATTTTGTTATTTTCCTATTTCTCTAATGTTCAAGTGGGCCTCAATCACATTCATATCTCCTTTTTGTTTGATTTATTTTTGGGAAAAAATCGTCCAATATTCAATACGTGTTTGACATGATTAATTTGAATTTACGATGAAAAGTCATTATAAATAGATTGAACATTATAGTAGGAGCTATATCTCTCAAACCACTTTAGCGATTTAGAGTATGTACTCATTTTGAGACTCGACTAATCTGAATACATGTCAGTAAGTCACTACAAATAAACTGAAAATCGATCATAGCAGAAGCCACATCTCTCAACCCACTTTGGGGGGGGGGGGGGGTTCTAAAAGTACCCATTTTGAAACTCGACTAATCTGAATTCGTATAAGAAAATCACTACAAAAGACCGAACATATATAGTAATAGAAGCTACACCTCTCAAACCACTTTAAGTTAACGTGTTTTCTACTAAAGACGATTCTATATATACTAACTATTCCTTCACAACTTAATTTGATTTTGGTTTCGAATATTAATGATTCGACAAACTTTCACATTCCAGAAATTTAAACAACTATTCTTATGATTAAAGTTATGAAATGTAACTCTTAAGAAATATCAAATATATCAAGAATATTAAAAGACATATATTATGAATAGAGATGTAATAGCATCTTACATATTATCAAATACATTTTCAGGCGTGTGGATCAAGCTTGAAAAGTGTCTTTAATTAATTAATGATTTTGCTAAGTCCAAAATGGAAAAGTTATAATTACATGCCACTAATTAATCTTATCCTAGTCAGCATTTTATTTGAGGTAATTAATTGATTGATAAATTAAACCTAGCAAATAGCAAGAGTGGTTTAATTAGCCACTAGCTAATATAGTGAATAGTTAGGTGGACCATACAACTTGAGAGACTTGATTAACTCAAGTCCACGTTCATGCATTACTTAATAGTAAAGATTATTTTACCGATCAGGATTATGGTGGAGTGGTAAGTATTTTTCATTTTTAACAAGAAGTTTCGGGTTTTAGTTCCCTTGGGTACGGAGTTACCTCTGTTAGGGAGTGTTTTGCCCCCTGGAACTTTCCTGCGCGAATTCGAATTTAATCGAGATTCAATATGGGATTCTTTATTTATATTTTTTTTTATAATAGAGAAATTTCTGAACGCATGATTTCAAATTTAATAGATTATAGATCCCTTTTTTACTCGTCTTCACATAAATATTATAATATGCGTCAAACTCATATATAATGTGTTGGGCTCTAATCAATGGACCGAATCGTGTTACAAAAGTGAGGTATATGATTCAATATCAAGATCAAATGTGCCTATATTACAAAAAGTATATTAAGAAAATCAAGATAAACTATTTCTATAGTTCTAACAAATTAAAATATCACAAATAAAATGAGAAAAACAATGATATATTTAGATGCCAAAACCGAGTTTTTTGCGCAAAATATCAGTCACACTATGTCAAAAACAAACAAGAAAAATAATAGTCAATTAATTGTGCAATAGAAGAGGAGTCAATGAAGTACCAATTAGGTAATTAAGTATACCAATTTATGGTGCATATAATAGTCAACCACTTGCAATTGTTTTAGTGGCCCTTACTAGTTACTAGTATTACATTCTTGTTTTAACCCATGAGAGGAAAATAAGTTTTACCAAGTCAAATTTATATGTAATTCATCTTCTTCTCCTCACCTCATGAGTTAAGTTATCGATCAGATTTCCTATGCAATATATATTGTCAACTTTTTATACACAATTTTAGGCATAACGAACTGTCCATACTTTCACCTTAGTAATGGAGGTTCGAACATCATTGTATCCTCCCTCCCCAAATCCCTCCCCCCCCACCCCCACCCCCACCCACCCACCACCCCAAAAAATGTTTTGGACATGCAATTACATACTACATATAATGTTTCATATTAGTTGAGAGAATATATTGCTATCCCCTTATATGATTTTGCGTAATTCTTATTTTATGAGTTAGTTTTGAAGTTTAGTTAGATGAAATATGTATTTTCTTTATACAAGTAATTAATAATGCTATACTATTGGCTCGGGAAAAAGAAAAAAGTAAACTAGCTAGCTATAGCATGTCCTTTTTTTTTATCAATTGGGTTTAATCATAAATACTAACGGATAGAAAGCGTAAACAATAGATTCAACTTAATCCAATATTTCTAACATAAAATATAGATAACTATCTAATTTTAAGCAAATATTATATTTAAATTTCATGTTTTAAAACTATCGACAATAAAAACCTAAATATTGAATTTATCAAATTTAAATTCTAAATCTGTTCTTACCCTATTCACAAAGGTAAATGGGAAGAAAGTTTCAAATAGAGCATAATCATATCAATCTAGTGATATATTAAGACTCTTATTATAAGCACTCAATTACACATCAACAACAAAAAATCAACTAGGTGGGGTCCAAAAGTTCTAAGGTTATACTTGTAATATTCCTTATTCCAAGGGGCATTTACAAACATCATTTCTTTATAAAAAGCAAACACAACTATATGCTCCAAACAACAAACAAACATACATACTCAATATACCAACAATGGGAAATTGCATAGTTCTTCAAGAAAAAGTTGTAAAAGTGATGAAAACAGATGGAAAAATTCTTGAATACAAAGCTCCCATCAAAGTTCATCAAATTTTATCACAATTTTCTAGCCATGTAATTTCTAATTCCCATCAAGTCATTGAAAATCAACATCTTCAACCAAATGATGACTTGCTAGGTGGCCAAATTTATTATCTTTTGCCTAGTTTACCAAAGCAACCTCCTCCAAAATCAGCCAAGAAAAAGGTCAAGTTTGCAAATGATCAAGTGAAAAAGAAGGTCAAGTTTGCAAATGATGATCAATTAGTAAATGATCATGAGAAGGTCAAGTTTGCAAAAGATCAAGTTGAATTATTAGAAGCTAATCATGATCATCACCAAAAGAAAGAGGTTATTAGGGTTAAAATTGTCATTTCTAAGAAAGAGTTGCAAGAATTGTTGAGTAGTAGTGAAGGTGGAATAATCAAAGTTGATGATATGATCAAGAGTACTACTATTGTTGAAGAAAGTACAATAACTAATGGTAAAGGATGGAAGCCTATTCTTGATATTATACCTGAAATACTTGATCACTAGCATACTTACCCTTCCTACTTTTTTTTAATGACGGTGGTGTTCAGGTCTGTTTGCGTGCAGTTCAACTATTTTATCAGATATCTATACTATCTTCAGTCAACACAGATATCTGATACTGCCCATCGAAGCTTGAGCTCTACTAGCATATATACCTTCTTCCTAGTTGTATTTGAAACTTCTCATAGTGTTTACGTTGTATATAGGTGTATACATGCACCAATAACTATAGGGAGCAGAACAGGATAACAAACTTATATAAGCTAAACGATGCAACAAGGAAAAAGAAATTTTGTTCTTTTGACTATTTAACATGAGTTCCTTCTTTGTTTGCTCAAGAAGCTATTAAAGCAGACAAATTAGCAACTACTTTTATTAGGTTGTTATTTGATAATTAATACGAGTTTGGAAGGGCTTCATGTCCATGATAACCTTGTACTTTGTTATTATGATACATACATATTAATATAATATATAGTATATTTCTTATGTTTAACTTTATATGTTCAAATTATTATTTAACGAGTAAAATGTTAACTTTTTTTTTAATTATGATATTTTAAAATATTTTGAATAATTAACTATTGCGATTCATATAGTACTTTATATATAATTTTAAATATGTAAATTTTATTAACAATTGAAAATTATATGTCTGAATTCATATTGAATATTAATTATTAGTTCGCCCTTTATATTCGATCAAACCACACAAATTGAAACAAGAGAACTGAAGTTGAATATTATTCGAGTAAAATAGAATGACTTTTTTTTTAATTTTAAAAAATAATTTTAATAATTTAATACAGTAAAATAAAAATTGAGATAGCACAACTGTCCTTATGATCCATATTTCCAGATCTGGTAAGTATGAATAATGAATAATATGAAGATGTGAATGGAATAAGTTATATATTCTGATAATAAAACTAGAAAAACTGAAAGTCATTTATGGGAACCTCAAGCCAACAAAAAAAAATCATGTTCCCCACTGAGAGATGATTCAATTTTATAGGTTATGAATTTTATAATAATAATTTTAAGTGATAATAATCAATTTAAAATATAATATTTATATATATTTAATGAATTTACAAATATATGTTTGAACAAAATCTATTAGATTCTGACAAACATGTATGCAGATTACTAATTCCGCCTTTGAATGCACCATAATTATCAATATCTTAGCTACATTAACGAAAAGGTGGTCAATTAAATAATATTTGTCAAAAAATTGTATAGCATATTAAGAAAGTAATACTCAGTAGATACATGAATTAAAATTACTTTTTATAATAAATGTATTAAATTTTAAATATATAAAAATTAGTGGATTTCACTTTTCCTTGACCACTACTCAGCATATCTTGTTACCATAATATAAGTTAATTTTAGTTGGTCAATGTGAATAAAAGATTAATAGGACTCAACTGTTATTAGTGCATATATAGAAAAAATATATATATATAAACTCTGAACATTTATAAAATTATTAAAGTATATATAATTATTTCACCTAAAAGTGAATTTTTTTTTTTAAAAAAAATACACTTTCACTTGCATAATTACGTTTTCAATGTTAATAACTTATAGAAAGCCTCAGTTTAAATAAAGAAAATTAAATTCATAGAAATATATGAAATTCTTGATGATTTAACATCTTATATTTACGATATACATTACGATGAAAGGATTCAGAAGAATTTCCTCACATACCTAGCTAATTCTACCCTATGTAATTTAACGTAAAATAACATTTTCAACTATTTATTCTAAATTACATATTATTGTTATTAAATATAATTACTTATAATTATTTTTTACCTCGTCAATATATCGAATTCATAATTATTACAAGTCTTATTGGCGGTGACCGCCCAACAAATGAACAACTAGTCTAAAAAAAAAAAGACTCCATGGTCCACTCAGTCTCCAAATGGGAAAATTTCATAAATTACTAAAATTAAGAATTGCGGTGGAATGACAGAAATTTCTTCATTTAAATTAGAAACTTTTTATTCAAATTGAGACGGTGAAAAAAAATCTTATTAAAAACACTTTTTAAAAATTAAATTTTATAATATATAAATTTAAATGTTATAATATATAAATTTAAATTTTATAATATATAAATTTAAATTTAATCAAATTTTAATACGATATCAAACTCCACCACGAGGAAAAATACTAGAAGATGATATTTCTCATCTCAACGGGTAAAAAGCAAAGGAAAATAATTAAAAATATAATCTTCTTTTCGAATGTGGGGTTACAAAAAGGAGATGGTGACATTTCATTTTGTAAATGAAAAAAGAATATTTGTCTGATAAAAATAGTATTTTATTGTAATAGTTGGTTGATTTCCATTTTGAGATCAGTATCATGATCTTGATAGCAAAATTCATAAAAAATTCTCAAAATTTTTAGCCTATAATATGTATATATTTTTTTTTTGATACTGTGATATTCTATGTATATTGATTTGTGTTATACTTAATAAAAGAAATTTACTACACTTTAATTTCTCATTTCGATATGAAATTTATCTAAAATATCATATTTATTTCTTTTCAAGAGTTGCCATCAACCTAAAAGCTTATCAGTCTTCTGATGTGACTTGCCTTACGTCAATGAAAATAAGAGAGAATCTTATAAATTCTTTTTTTTTTTGTCATGTCTTATTTGATGGTGGGTAGGATTACTTTCGTGAAAAAATAAATAATCAATCGAAGCTAAATTTTTGTTTATTATCCGATATTCAGTTCATATTAGGGTTAACTAAATTTAGAATCACGTATTGCGGAGTCCGTTCATGAAGATAATGATGCTTCTAACAAATTTTTTCCGTTATTGAAACGGTTGTATACTTATACTCTTCTTTTACCTTGTTCATTTTGGCTTCTTTAATGAATAAAGGTATATTAATATAATAACAAGATTTGGTTAGAATATAGAATGGCTTGCAAGCAATATAATCAAGACGTTAATTGAAAAATGCCAACAACAACTTTTAAGAACCATAAATTGAAAAATATCAAGGGCAAAAGAAATTTACATAAACGAATTTGGACGGGTTAAAATTGGCTAAGTTAATAAATCAATAGATTATGATTTGCCTTTTTGAAAGAGTCGGTATTCAAATTTTTGCTTTTTAAATTGGCTGATTTTTAATTTTTGTCCTTCGAAATCAAATTTATGCCTAGCTAGCAAAGCAAACGTTCTTTAAGGGCACGGGACATAAATAATGAAATATTATGATGTAAAAATATAAATTTATGACATGCGAAAATGCATAAAATTAAAGACCAATACAAAATAGAGGAAAAAGTGCAAATAACCTCGTTAACTGACCACGCTCGAATGAGGTGAATTGAGTTAATAAAATCAAAAGTGATAGATTTAGTTGAATTTGAAGGAGTATTTTCATAAATTAATTTAACGATGTGAATGTATTTTGAAAAATGGTATCAACAAAGTAAGCAAATTAGCATGTTACGTGCCTTTGGCTCAAAGAATATATAATAGTATACATATATATAGTAAAAAACGTTATATATAGTACACGTGCATATATAATATACAGAACAATTCCACGAGTAGGGTATGATGAGGATAATGTGTATGCAAACACATATATTAATACTCCTCACGCACCGATACATCAAAATTTTCAGTTAACATAATGACATGATAAATGTTTTCTCGTATGAAAATGGCATATAGATGAGCCAAACTTTTAATGGATAATGTAGATGAACACTTTCTCAAAATTTGATGACATATTTAAATTGTACCCTAATTATTTGTCAATATCCAAAACTAATTCAAGAATCAGTTAAGCTCGTCAACAAGAAAACCAAAGAGCAATGTGAATGCGTTTTGGAAAATGGTATCCACAAAATAAGCAAATTAGCCTTTAATTGGCTCAAAGATACATATAATTGTATAATAGTATGAGTGCAACAAGCACAATTCTATTTCTATACTTTGAATTATGTATACACGTGCAGTGTATATATATATATATATATATATATATATATATATATATCAGTATAATTTCACGAGTTTGAGACTTTGAGGAGATAACGTATACGCTAACACATATATTAATACTTTTTGCCCACTGATTACATTAATTCAAATTTTGAATTCGTCTATAACATTCAATATTTATAGTCTTATTATTATATAATAAAGTCTTACTATAGAAAAGGTATGCATTTTGCTTGCTTCACAAAAAAAAATGACAACATGAATGATGAAATGAATTTCAATAGTAATAAGTAAGTTCCTCATTGCATAAAAAAAGTTGGATTGCTTCTTCAAGCTTCTAATTAATTATATACCGTATAATTTATAGTGTAGACCATTCCCTAATATCCTTAAAATTCGTTAGATTTAATCAGGATAAAAATAACGGTACGTCATGCAAAAGTTAATTATTATTTTATTAATATTGAATTGGACAGGTTTATATATATATATATATATATATATTGGGAAGAAAATATCTCATGAGGTAGGATCTCTATTAAAATTGTGAAATGTCATATTGCATAATCCAAAATTAAAAAATCACAATGCTAAATATCTCGAAATTAATATTTAGATTATTGTACTTTTATGGTATATGTCTTTATCCAATTGCTAATTGCTGCAATTTGTGTGTGGATGATAAATCAAAATGCAACCAACTAAAAGAAGCCACAACAACAAAACAAAAAAACTTGATATAAAAGTGAAAAGTGCAAACCATATCATATATACCTAACATAATCACTATAATAGTTGGATATTTATTGATTACATAGAGATATTTTTTATTATGTGAAGCCCTTCAGCTTAGCTTGTGATTGACGAATAGTTCGATGCATAAAGTATTCTGTATTTACGTAAGATTTGGAGAAAAACCGCATCCAAAAAAATTTGATATAGATAGTCTAACTTGATATAATAAGCTTCCACAATTTAGCTTAATTTATATTAACAAGAACCTAAAAGGCTAAAATGTTATAGTAAATTGATA